TAACTATTTAATACATATCATCACAGACATTAATAATCCATCGAAAAAAAAGTTAATATATTTTTTGCACAAGTGGCAATGTAGTGAAACATGTAATGAATATTTCGTATGACCTCTATAACTCTCAAAATGGCCCATGTTGTTTGCATTCAAGACCCAATCTATATTAATTAAGAATTTCTGAAATAAACTACTGGGGGATGTGGAGCCGTTCATAATTGGATTCTTCAGTAAATGTCTTGAGATTATTTTAAATAGAATCCTATCTATTCTTCCTACGTACATGTCATTTCAGGTGTGAGCGAATACGGGAGTTAGCCAAGAGAGGTCCGTCATCTAAGTTATCTTCTCTGAGTAGGTTTTTGATGTATAAATGATAATTAACTTGGAGTTATGAAAGATCAGTCCAAAGTCGTTACTTAGTCGACTACTATTCGGTGAGCCGAAACAATCCCATTTGATTAGAATTTCTTTTGAAAGCTAATAACTTATAGCTTAATTTCATTTATTAACTCCGCCTGTAGCTCTTCTAGAGTTAATGTCGGTCTCAAGCCCGTGTAAAGGAGGAGGGTTGAGCATGTGGTTAGCGACCCCATCTTGTAGAAAAGCTAACTCGTTAAAAAAACGCTAACCAGAAAAAACTAATTCAAACCAGTTAAACTCTGTTCTGGGAGTTGAAAGAAGAATTATGACGCCTCATGATGAAAGCCGAGATTTTTCGGAAGTCACGAGGCCGATGCCCCTTCTAACAACCAGAGCAACATTCTCTATAGGTACATGGAACGTCCGGACAATGTAAGAGATCAGGAAGACCATTCAAATAGCAATGGTAATGAGAAGATACAAATTGGCAGTACTTGGAATCAGCGAAACCCATTGAACCAAAGCTGGACAATAAAGGCTAGGTACGGGAGAGATGCTGCTGTACTCCGGTCACGAAGGGGAAAATGCTCCGCACACTTAAGGAGTTGCTCTAATGCCGTCCAGAGAAGCACGAAATGCACTTGTAGGGTGGGAATCTCATGGATCCAGAATTATCAAAACATCATTCAAAATAAAGAAGGAGGGGATCACAATGAATGTTATCCAATGTTATGCACCCACAAACGATAGCAACGACGACGATAAAAATCAGTTCTACTGGAGGCTGCAATCAATTATAGCGAAGTGCTGAAGGAAGGACCTCACCATCCTGATGGGAGATCTAAATGCTAAAGTTGGAGTGGACAACACAGGATATGAAGATATAATCGGACGACATGGACTAGGAGAAAGAAATGAAAATGGGGAGAGACTTGCAAACCTATGTGCTTTCAACAAATTGGTTATAGGTGGCACAACATTCCCACACAAACGCATACACAAAGCTACATGGATCTCACCGGACCACATCACAGAGAATCAGATAGATCATATTTGTATCACTAAAAAATCCTGAAGGACAATGGAATATGTGAGAACAAGGAGAGGAGCCGACATAGCTTCAGATCACCACCTGGTTGTGGCCAAGATGAAACTGAAGCTAAAGAAACACTGGGCATCTGGACAAACAGCATTACAAAGGTTCAATACAGCCTTCCTTCGTGATACTAACATACTCAATGAATTCAAGATAACTTTCAACAACAGGTTCCAAGCTCTACAGGATCTACTGAAAGAACAAGAAACTACTTTGGAGGACAACTGGAAAGGGATTAAAGAAGCACTATTTTCAACGTGTTAGGAGGTTCTGGGTGGCAAGAAGCATCATAATATGGAATTGATCTCTATGGGAACCCTGCACAAGATTGAAGAAAAGAAGAATAAGAAGACAGCAATGAACAACAGTCGAACACGAACAGAGCAAGTCAAGGCACAAGCAGAATACGCAGAAGCGAACAAGCAAGTGAAGAAGAGCATTAAAGTCGACAAGCAGAAATACATAGGTGAACTAGCAACGACAGTGGAAAAATCTTCAAGAGAAGGGAATATGAAACAACTACATGATACAACGAAGAAGCTAGCAGGCAGATATAGTAAACGAGAGAGACCAGTCAAGGACAAAGAAAGAAAGACGATCACGGAGATTCAAGAACAGAGGAAAAGATGGGTAAAATATTTCGAGGAACTGTTGAGTAGACCAGTCCCATTGGATCCACCGAATATCGAAGCAGCACACATACCAGCGATCGAAGAAATCAAGATGACCATCAGACAAATCAAGAATGGTACAGCGGCAGGACCTGGCAATATACTAGCTAAGGCACTGAGGTCAGACATTAAAGTAAGTTCAAACATGCTTCACGTTCTATTCAAAAAGATTCGGGTGGAGGAACAAGTGCTGACGGACTGGAAAAAGATACCTCATCAAGATACCAAAGAAAGGTGACTTGGGCAAATGTGAGAGTGACAGAGGCATCACACTGTTGTCAGTACCACGAAACGTTTTCAACAGAGTGTCGCTGAACCGGATGAAAGACGCAGTAGACGCTCAACTTTGAGATCAACAGGCTGGACTCCATAATGACCGGTCGTGCACAGAACAAATAGCGACAGTACGGGTCATCGTTGAACAATCAATTGAGTGGAATTCGTCACTATACATCAACTTCATTGACTGTGAGAAGGCGTTTGATGGTGTGGACAGGAGAACATTATGGAAACTTCTTCGACACTATAGTGTTACTGAGGTGATTGTCAACATTTTCCAGAACTCATACGACGGACTACAGTGCAAAATGGTGCATGGAGGACAGCTGACAGATGTATTTCAAGTGAGAACCGGAGTCAAACAAGGCTGTCTACTCTCCCCCTTCCTCTTTCTTCTAGTGATTGACTGGATTATGAAAACCTCAACATCTGAGGGGAAGCACGGAATACAATGGACATCTCAGGATCAATTAGATGATTTGGACTTCGCAGATGATCTGGCTTTTCTATCTCATACACAAGAACAAATACAGATGAAGACAACAAATGTAGCGGCAGCCACTGCATCAATAGGCCTCAGCATACACAAAGGAAAAAACAAGATTCTCAAATGCACCACGGAGAACACCAACCTAATCACATTTGACGGAAAAACTCTGGAAGAGGTGGAAACATTCACGTACCTGGGAGGCATCGTTGATAAACAAGGAGGATCGGATGCAGATGTGAAGGCGAGGATTGGCGAAGCAAGTACAGCATTTCTACAACTGAAGAACATATGGAACTCAAAACAACTGTCAACTAACTTCAAAGTGAGAATCATCAATACGAACGTCAAGACAATCCTACCGTACGGAGCTGAAACGTGGAGAACTACCACAACTATTTTCAAGAGTGTAAAAGTATGTGAAAACAGTTGTCTCTGCAAAATACTCAGCAACAGCCTTCTGTGGAAGATGACAAACCAGCTTCTAGCTGAAGAGGAAATTAGGAAAAGACGTTGGAAGTGGACCGGACATACATTAAGGAAATCACCAAACTGCATCACGAGGCAAGCCCTAACTTGGAATCCGGAAGGAAAGAGGAAGGCCAAACAACACATTACGCCGGGAAATAGAAGCAGATATGAAAAGGATGAATGTTAACTGGAAAGGATTGTCCAGTACAGGGTTGGATGGAGAATGCTGATGTGCGGCCTATGCTCCTCCACGAGGGGGTAACAGGTGTAAGTAAGTAAGTCATTTCATTTGTTGACATTGAATACTTATCGATAAACATGAAAATTGAATATTCCAAATCACATTTTTTCACCATCTAAAACCCATATGAATGAATAAAAACATGTCTGAATTATAAATAGTCATGAAATTAATGCTCTGTAACCTACAAGTAACAATTTTTGGGGGATAAGCCCTAAATGTGCACTGTTTAATATTCCTGATTTTTAGTAATAATTCAACTATATTTGAATAGATTAATCAGATATATTATGAATATCTATAAAATGATTGGTCATAGCTGTTGCATTCTTATCGAACTACTAATAATAATGTTCATCGGTTTTTCAAATTATAAATGAAAATACCCGAATCATGTCTGACAGATAATTAATATAACTGAATAGTCTGTACAATCCAATTAGTCTTACTTACTGACAGATATATCTCATCTGTATTAAATAATTTAGTTTCAAATATCATATCAGGCTGATACTAATAATTGTCAAAAATCCCACTATCTGTTTTCTACATATGTATCTTAAATAGATTAACTTATCAGTTAAAATTCCCAAATACAAAAGAGGATACATTGTCTAAACCAAATCACTGTTAAACCATATACTAATTATTAATCGAACCAACTAGATCTTTGTATATCATAGGAAATACCCATTTAGTTAGAGTAAGAACGTAGTGAATTCCCCATAACTTACGAAAGACGTTTCTGTACTGCTGTTAACGTTTATTTAGTGTTCATTAAGTGGGTAGACTATGGTCAGTGTTATAGACAGAATGTAGTCCTAGTTAACATAGCCTCTACATTGTATGATGCTTTCTAAATTAATATTATTATGAATATCGTCAAGTCTTACAAATGAAGAAGTGTTTAAAATTTTCATTAAAAAATATAGAAACCTACATATCATTATTTTACAATTGAATTTAGTTATCATTAATATTATTATTCAAAGAGGACTGGAATATTAGGTTACTATGTGGTCAATGGGTTCTTTGAACAAACTTAGTGTAAGCAGCTTCGTGTTAACGTGTGTTATCCTCACTATTTGAAGTCTGAGTGTTAATACGGGTTCATAATTACATTTTTAATCCCAAAAATTAAAGTTATTATTAGTACAAATTGATTGACCATATGAACGCTTCTGCTCAGCTTTACTAACTTCAATTCCCCTTTGGTCTCATTTTTTTCGACTATATTTCGACTGTATATTTTGATTGGTCAACTGTACGGCAGTTTGCCTATTGGATGATTAAAATTTCAAATCTAAAATAATATTTTGATTGGACAGATCAGTAGTAACATTTTACAACCAGTGTTTGATACAACTATTGTACCGATTTTTATTAAGATTTATGTTACACTAGATTTTTCTTAATGAACTTTTCCTAATGAAGACAAAACAATTGACTAGATGATTTATCAACAGAGAATTTTTTTGACGACATTCCACTATCTGCCCAAAATTAAGTAACACATTTTACAATCAGGTTATTTAAAACACAAGATATGGAACAAAACATAAGTCCTTCTACAATAACAGTTGGCTTGTCTAATGCTTCAGGAAATACAGGTTCTTATTTGAGACGCCTTGTTACAAAGTCACCATTAGAGGCAATGGCACAAAGATTTGGTCATGTAGTTCGTGAATTTCAGATCAATTTACCATCTCAGATAAACAACAGATATGATAATTTACAATGTTCTGATGATTTAACCACCTTCCCAGTTAATCCTAGAACTACTTCCTCTTTGTCACTAATGTATCCATATTTCACCCCCATCCCTCCACTCCACTACTTTAATGCTGTAACTACTACTACTACCACCACATTAACATCGATAGCAACCACTACTATTATCAGTAACATTTCGCCTGATAGTAGTCCTCACAGTGTTTCTAAACTTCCTCTTCTACTATCGAAACCATCGTTTGATTATTTCCACTCAAAATTATGTGAAACAGGTTCAATATCAGAAAATCTGTCTAAGATTACGTCATTTAGTGCGTTAAAACAAAGTTGTAGTCGAGACTTGCATAAAATGAATGACACTGATACTATGACTGAAGATTGCAGTGATCCTTTTATGTCATCAGATGTTTGTTCATTAAACTCAGTACAACATTCTCATGAAAAAGAAAACTTTCGAAATCCATTATGCGTAAGATCAAGCCATTTAAATAGTTTACAAGAAAATCAGTTTAACGAAACAAATGAATATGAACTTAACTCATTTGTAAACGAAGCTACAACTTACGGTTTGAACTTATCATTTCAAAATGATAAAATGACTAAGCATGAGAGATCATACCATAATTTTGAAAACTGTCGTCATGGTTTCTTGAATGGAACTAATCACTGTGATATGTCAAATTCAAATAACTTATCAATATTTGAATGTAAAAACTATTCATATCCCAACAATTTGATAAATTCGAATCTCTGCCTTTCTAAATGTGATCATACTGTGGCATATTCATCATCAATGTTCAATAATTCTTCAGAAACATATACTTGCTCAAATCATTCTGTAAAATATCCAGCTTCACCATCAAATATTTATTTAAACAAATCAATACCAATGTTTTGGTCAAATGATTGCAATAACCCAAATGTGAAACCACCATTTTCTTACATTACACTGATTGTTTCAGCAATGAATTCAAAATTATCAAAAAAGATTACATTGAATGAAATTTATGCATGGATTATGCATACATTTGCTTATTATCGTAAAAATACAAGAAGGTTAGTACTGTGAGTTGAAGTAATTAAAACATATGTCAAGTGATTTGTCGAATTTTATGCGTAATTGAACAAGAGTACTGACAACAAAATAAATGTGAAAGTCAACACTTTCTAAATTTAAACTTTAATATTTATTGTCATTACTAAGTTTTAAAAATTTAGTTAAGCGATAAGTGCTATGATTAATATATGCATGTAAGATATAGCAAAGTTTAAACCAATAAGCTGTTGTAATTTTCCCAATTAAGCCATTTTCGTCTTTCGTTTGTCTCCAGTTAAGATTGAAGCATCAATTATACTCATGTAAGTGAATCAGTAACTAAAAGTCATAACCAAACAATGTTTTACCGATGGAATATTTTGTTTTAAGTACGATCACAGAATAATAATAGTAATAATAATAATAATAATAATAATAATAATAATAATGGTACATATGAATATATGTATTCTAAACTTCGCCATATGCACAAAGTATTGTAACAATGTGCTCGCCTTGTCAATATATATAGTGTACATGAGGATGATTAAGGCCAGATGAGAATAATTGCCAAAAATTATGCCTAAAACTCGTGAGCGTGTAAAAGTGCCCGGATAGATTCACACACGGACATGTGGGAAATAACCTCGCATAGACGACTAATATACTTAAGCACAATAGTTCATTAACATTTGAATGAGTTTTCATGGGTTTGAAACATGTTATCTGTTCGGCTTTTCCGACACATTATCTCTCCCTCCTGGATTCAAATGTCTTACTCTAAGTTAAGTGAGCATCAACTTCCGTCTGAGCTACAGATGGTTCCAACCAATTATTAACACTACAAAATACTAAAACTGTACTCAAATCCTTTTCAATTATTGAATATCTGTACAATGATCAGATTACATTAGTCAAGTGAATCACGCAGCTTTGGTATTTACAGATTATTTTACATTAACGATCAATAGTATTACAAGTCATTAAAATTAAAACATAACTGTTATATCTAGAGCTTTGATTCTTGCTATGCCGCGTACTACTAGACTACTTGAACGATCGAAATCGCAACATCGCAAGAGAGAAGACAGAAGACTAGTAAGTAGGAATTTTGTTCCCCAAACAGTGTCAAAATATAGTACAAAGATCTCATGTATTTTAATAGTTTTTTGGCTGAAAGTAAATCATCATTTCGGTCAACCAATAGGCACATAGGGGGTCATTCTTATCCATCCACTAGGGAAGCTACACGTCGACATTCTAGAATGTTCCCCTAGTGGTGATTGGATGGAATGTCTTCGGCTCTTTCTGGGCTTCTTGAGGCTTCCTAGAGTTTGCCAACGAGCCATCCTTACAATAACAAAATTAGGAATTAGCAAATGAAAAGTCATCGATTAGAAAAATAACTACCTTATTTATATGACATTATTTCATTAAAATCTTGCTCTAAATTTATCAAAACTTTAATGATCCCGATTCGCCACGTCTCATTTTCTTAAAATAAATTTTTAGCGAAAGTCAAAGTTTTAATTTGATAAATCATATGAAATGTACACCATTGTATGTAGGGCACAACAGAATGGAGGCTAGACAATCGTCACGAGACCTGAAGATCCTAAATTCGATCCCCTCTGTGGTCGTGAATGCCCGCTATCAAGAGATTTCATAATAGAGTAAGATGGTTATCCACTTTTTCTTAATTTTCAACAAGTACATACGTCCTTTGCCGATAAAAATCATTTGTTACAACCTGCCTACTCATATTAGTCTGAAAAATCGAATAAAATTTCTAAGAAAGAATACAATTTATTAGTGTTGTTATTTTCTCTAAGATGAATGCTTCAATTCGCAAAATTCTTCATTATCATATTAGACAACATCAGTCGCCTCGAACTTTATGTATAAGAACTGGACAGTAATTATTTCGGTAAGTGTTCAAAGTCAGTTCATCCTGATAGTCTTATTTTCAACAGTGAGATTATAGATATATTCAACCATTATAAGCATCTTGTTTATTTATCATAGTTCTTATTTTTTCTTATTTTTTAAATGGATATAGATGGCAAAATTCCATAAGACATGCATTATCATTTAATGATTGCTTTATTAAAGTGCCCCGTCCATCTGGTGAAGCTGGTAAAGGTTCTTATTGGACAGTGCATCCATTAGCCATAGACATGTTTGATAATGGTTCATCAATGCGTCGTAATCGTAAATTTATTGATGAGAATCGTTATCGTCATAATCATAATCATGCAACTATACATATGAATGGAAAAAAGTATACATCTATTAAAAATTACGGAGTTAATTTATTAAGTCATCCTCCTCATTATCATCATCAATCACGAGTAAATATGAATAAAAGTGACAATGTACAATGGTCAATCATGATTAAAAATAATAATAATAATAATAATAATAATAATAATAATAACAGTAATGTACAAGATTCTATTTCAACTCATTCAAATTCATGTGATAAATATCATCAGAATGACGATGATGATGACGGTGATAATATTGACGGTTATATGGATAAGTTTACTAGAAAAGTGAAAGAATCCACTGTATACAACAACAATGATGATAACATAAACAGTAAGAATCATAATTATAAATGTAACTCCAAAGATGATCATATAAAAACAATAACAATGTTGAATCCAATAAAATCTCCTTCTACTAATACTACTACTACTACTACGTAAGTTTAACGAATCAATATTACCAAACTGTACTTAAGATGAATATTCACAGTGATTCATTACATTAAACGAACTACAAACATGTGCAACATTTTATACTTACGTACTTACTTATGCCTGTTACCCCTTGTGAAAAAGCATATGCTGTCTACCAGCACTCTCTAGCCAACTCTGACCTCAGCAATCCTTTCCGGTTATTTACAGTGGCTGTTTATTCTTTTGATATCTGCTTTCAATTCTTGAAGCACTGTGTTCTTTAGTCTTCCTCTTTTCCGTTTCCCTTCAGGATTCCAAGTTAGGGTTTGCCTCTTGATACAGTCTGATGATTTCCGAAATGTATGATTTAACCACTTCCAACATCGTTTCCTAATTTCCTCCTCAGATGGAACCTAGTTTTCCCTCTTATACAGTGGGTTGTTGCTGATGCTATCTGACCAAGGGACATTGAGTATCTACAGTAGACAATTGTTTATAAATACTTGTATTATTTTGATGATGGTTGTGGTTATTCTCCAAGTATCAGTTGAGTACAGTAGAACTGTCTTGACATTCGTATTGAAGATTCTGAATTTGATAAATATATATATATATTCTAATTATGGTATAACTTTTTGACAAATACCTTTTAGAAATTGGACAATAATTTAAAAATGTATTCGGACGATAAATTTTAAACATGAATTAAGAGTATGGAAACAGTAGAATTTTTCTTTTTGGTTATTTAAAAAAAGTAGGAATTAAATTTCAACACTATAAATCATCTGAGTAATAACCAAAATTGTCATTTATTGCAGTTAATTAAATAGATGTATTTGTTAATGAATCTTAAAATATGGCTGAATAGATTTTCTCTTTCTTTCAAACAAATATTCTTCCCTAAAAAACATGGATAATAAATTAATAATGTGGTAAATAAGTATAATGATTTGATGAACAGAGGTAGAAATTACAAAACAAAGCCGTGACCAGTGGAATCAGTAATTCAACTTAGATGATGGATGAAGGGTTGAACAAGATCATAGGTCGATCGAAGTTAGACACTAGCACAGTTGAATTCCGGTTCAGTGGTTTAGAGGGTAAGCGTTCGCATGTGAGACGGGAGGTCCTGTGTTCGAGTCTCACGTATGGGGTTGTGGATGCGAACTGATGAGTCACATGCCAGGGAGAGACGACCGTCCATTAATCCCAGGTTTTCAATGATGGTCCAGCTTATATTGACTCATGAATTCCATTGCTAAAATTACTAAAATCTCCAAAAATCTCCATAATGATAAAAGTAAAATTGCTAAAGTATCAATAAATCACTCAGATTTCAAGTGGTTTATGCAGTGATTTCTGCAAATATATTCAAAAATGAAACTGATGACACCATCTTTTCAACCGTTCAAAATAAAAAAATAAACATTGAGCAATTGTTTTGACTATCTTTATCATGGAGCAAATACAAGAACAACAAAATGTTAGATCCAAATCAACAATCATTATCATAGAACAGACACATTATGGTTAGCAGTAAAATCCAGTGTGTGTGTGTGTGTTTCTTCGAATTTGGGACTCATCAGACTGATGTGCTCAAACCTAAATGTTAACATTCACACTGAAACTAAAACATGGTACCTTTTGCTTCAAATTTCTATAGTGTTGTTCATTCAACTACTGTGTTGAGGGTATGAATTATTCAACTATTGACACTCGGGACTAGAAACAAACAAGTATCATACATTCTTATTAAAATTTCAATTTCAGTTGATTCATTTTTTCATAGCTCGTGATAAAAATAAACTTTAGAAAACATCATTGTTTATTTTAAAGATTAATTATCATTATTGAGATCATGATCCTATTAATGTTAAACCACCATTGAAAACCTAAAAGTACTAGACGGCCAATCTTTCCTAGTATGGGACTCTTCAGGAGCGCACATTCACAACCCCGCTCGAATGCTTACATTTTAGACCACCGAACCGGCATTCAGCAATGTCTAACTTTAACCAATTTATTATTATTTATTTCAAGTGTAAACAACTAAATTGTTGGTTAAAAAATTGGAAAAAAACCAAATTGTACGTTGAAAGAATGAAGATTTGCAGCTCAGCTGGATACTTTCTTTAGAATTAATTCTTTAATTGAGAATCTTTTACTGCACTTCTGGAAAACATTATCAGCGTTTACTTTAGGTAAATGATAGTTTTTTAAAGTGGTAGGCAAGGGTTCAATCATTTCTTTCTGGTAACGCGATATATCTTACTCCTAGTTGGTTAGAGGCCGAATCCAAATTACTTTTTTTTCATTGTTTCTCATAAACAATACTAATGAGACAACAGCACTTCAATCGTATTTAACTCAATGTTACAATAAAACAAAAGGAAACGTGGTTCTTAATGAGCAAGTTTTTACTATTTCTAGAAGAAAAAAAACAAAAGTTGTTTAATTATGTATCCAAATACTACAAAACAACACACTGCAACTCATAAATCGCAGCGGTTACACAGTTAGAATATTTCTGCATACAAAGCTAGGTAGCACATCGGTAATTAATTGATTGTCGTAAGATACAGAAATATAGTGGACCAAAATAAACTACTATAATTACGAGTACATAAAAATGCCATCAAACAGCTGTACGGTAAATATTCAGTTATAATATTCAGACTAGTTCACCAAAGAATACATAACCAGGTTTAGTATTTCCGGCAATTTAAAAATACACAATAAATATTTGGGCGAATGGTTGTTTCCAATCAACTGTTTTTCAAACCTTGAATTTAGACAAGATATTAAGGCATTCATGCAAATGTATGATTAGAATTAATCAACCTTCATATATAATCTTTCCTACGTCTTTTCATATAGTAATTCTATACATATTTTGAAAATGATTACGGAATGATCTTTCAAGTTTAATAAAAACTCATTTTGTAAATATCTGAAACAAAATTGACGTTAAAAGTTGCCAGTTTTAATTTATAACAAAAATAAAATTATAGAAGGGGTTTTGTGGAGATTTAGTATTTATCATTGTTGAAAGCGTGAGTCAATTGAAGCTAGATCACCATGGAAAACCTGGAAACACTGGACGGCCGTTTCGTCCTATTATGGGACTCCTCAGCAGTGCGCATCCACGAACCTGCTCTCGCGAGCGAGATTCGAACCCAGGACCTACCAGTCTCGAGCCGAAGCCCTTAACCGATAGACCACTGAGCTGGCATCCAACGGTGTTAATGTCTAACTTTCAAAAATAAAATTAATCAAATCATCAGTATACACATATATATCCAATCCCAAAGAGTTCTTCATAAAAGTTTCTGAACCACTATCGGACAGAAACTTTCCAGAGACATCTAGGAAAACGAAGTTTTATGTGTTACACTTTGATCGAACAAGTAATTTTTTAGTAAATTTAGTATGTTTCCAGGATCTTATTGGAGGTCAAGGCCACTCGTAAACCTATGAATATGCTTGATTTCTGCGAATAAATTCACTTGAAGTAAAGCTTCTCGTTTAACTTAACATCCTTATTCTGCTGTTCGAGTTGAACCGTAAGAGTGGTGTGAGAAGAATATAGGAAGCGGTTGAGAAATCTATAGCAAGCGTTTAAGTAACAAACTTGTTGTCTATTGTAAAACAATATTCATAAATCTATAACTACATAAAGTGGAAAATAACTAATTAAAAATAATTATTTGCCTAAATGTTTTTTTTGTTTTCAGTTGTTTTTACTCGACCTAACACATTACTGGACTTTCTCATTTAACTTTTTTTCATAGAGAGAAATCATGGAAAACTTTATCCATACCGTCAGATACATTAAACTGTTTAAATGATTACATTCATCATATTTATGATAGTAATAGTAATACTAACAATAATAATAACAGCAATCATAAAAATTCCCAATATATTCCTTTTCCTCCTCCTCCCTCTCATCATCATCATCAGAAGAAGAAGAATTTAAATTTTGACGCGGGTACATTCCATTACAATTATTCCGTTAACGATTACAAATGTGAAATGATTTTGTCATCACCGTCTTCCTCTTCCTCTTCCCCTTCTTTGTCATCATCGTTGGCATTTTCTCCCCCGTCCATTGCTATCTCTACTCTCTGTTCTACATCAAATTCATCAGGGTTAATTTGTGACCCAGATCAATATCATCATGATATTCAATCACACAATACATTAGATTGTCAATATATTAATCATTATAAAAATCAATCAAATCCTTGTTTAACTTTATTAAACAATTCTTATCAGAAATCAATTAATTCCTTACAGAATCTGATCAATTCAGAAAGTATCGATAACATAACTAGAAATAATAATAATAATAATGATAATAACTGGAGTACAATTAATGTCAATAATGAGAATAGTATCGGCACATATGACAATACCAATTACGATGACATTGAAGGTAATATAACTGATTCGACGGTTGATGATAATAAATTATTATCACGAAATACAATTAATTGGTATAAAGAATTTTCTCTGAATCAAATATTTTAATGTATTTATTACTTAAATAATAAATTAAAGTTCTATTAAAATAATAAACTTACGATCATTTACTTGAAAAAAAAACATATTTGTGTCTTATGGATTCAAACCTAGTAACTTTCTTTTAAAATGTTGATGGTTTATCTACTTAGCTAAGTGGTCAGGATTATCATTTGATCAATGTGACCTAAGATATTACGAACTTGTAACTACAACTTATGACGTAATGGCTAAATCGAGACAATCAGCTCAGGATGCATATATGACATCAATAACTGATCAATCACAATCCTAATTATCAATAATGGCCAACTAAATACTAACTGGTAAAATCAACTGCGTTTTGAATCAAAACAGAAACATTAAGTTTGTAGTTAGATTGATGAACAACTGGTTTGCAGAGATGTATCTCATTGATTAGAACAGTCTAATTTGAATCATTGAGCGTATTGATTTAAATCTTCCTCTACATATTTTCGTGTGGACAACCGTATTTTCTAACCAGCCTATCTAAACGAGTTATGTAAAGTTCACACTTATTAAACAGAAATCAATTAGGTTGAATATCAAAACTGACATTCTCAAATGAATAATTAATCAAGATGCAAAACTGTGAAATTTAATTAATAAACATTAAAATAGCAAACAGTAAAACTTACTCTTTAAAAAATGTATAAATTATTTGGTCGAGTTTTTTCATGTAGAATCTTTTGTTTACTTCAAAAATAGTTGTTCTAAAAAATTAAAATAAACTAGAAAAAACGGACTGAAAATCTTGGGGCATTAAATGGCGGTTTCGTTGGAGTTTGGGACTCGTCAAAAAAGTATATATCCATAGGCTCATGCAAGACAGAACTTGGAACTTTCAAGTCGGATAAAAGCATCAATCAATATATTAAGTGATATAGAATGATTCTTATTTAATGTCAGCAGTAAGTTAATGGTAGATCGTTGATGTAGTTCATTCTGAAGATTACAACATTCCAAAATTAATTTCCGAAATTAGTTCTGAAGCTAATACCTAATGAACATAAAATAACAAACATAGTTACATGTTTGATGACGATTTGTGTAGCGTGACATCGACTTCCATAATTGTTTAAATACAAAACTAATTTTTACAGTTGAAATTATGAGTCAATTGAAGCTAGACCACCATCGAAAACCTGGAAGCACTGGACGGCCGTTTCGTCCTATTATGGGACTCCTCAGCAGTGCGCATCCACGAAACGGCCGTCCAGTGCTTCCAGGTTTTCGATGGTGGTCTAGCTTCAATTGACTCATGATTTCAACTGTGAAAATACTAAATTCTCCACAAAACCCCCTCTGATCAACAAAACTAATTAGCTAATATCTTCATCAACGTAGTATATAATATACTGATGAAATTTCTTGAGCTATAAAATACGTTTCAGAAGTCAAATTCCTAAACTATCTCACTTTTAATTTGTTTATAAATTATTGACATTGATCCTAATATACATGTATGGATTATCATAATCTGTTTTAATTTAAACAATCAATTTTATTTATAAAGGGTATCTTGTAAATATTTTGTATTATTATTCACCTGTCTTCTCACTATCAGTTTGCACTCTTCACCAATTATTTGTAGTTATACAACCTATTGTAACGCTGTGATCGTTTACTCATAAATTGGTCTAATATTTTCATACAACTACATAAGTACTCATGTATATTAGAGTAAAACCTAACAACTATCTAGATGAAGATAATATTACCCGATTATATGTATGATTCAAAAGTGATTTGATAATCCATTGATATTGTTTAAGTATGATGTATAAGTTCAAAACTAAAATGAAATAGTGGCGTCGATACTATTTAATTTTTGTCATGTAAATCACTATTAAATAGACGAACTTTCTTTTTTTTTCTTTTTATTTTAAATTCAAAAATAGCGTGTGAATCATAAACAATAACGAATATTTTATTAAAATAAAAATGAATTATAATAAAAAAATATTATAAATTTTATTTGTTCTTAATGTAATTGAATAATTAACTTTGTTATTATTTGACTTTTCGTTTTTTTTTAAAAAAAAAAGATCTAACATAACTAAATACATGTTGATTGATTTGTTTTTGTAACTTGAATTTCTATTGGATAAATTCAAATTATTTGAGTATTGTTCATATTATGTTCTCTCTCTCTCTCACTCCCTCTCTGTCTCTCTCTCTCTCTCTCTATATATATATATATATATATATATATATACACCTGACCAGATGTATTTATTCATTAAATATGTCATATCATCTTTCTTTATATAGAAAGTAGAAAACTATGATTGAGGTGAAAATAAGATGTTCAAATTTTTCATCTTGTATATCATAAACTGTTACCTTTCTTTCTTTAATTATTTTTGTTTTTTTTCTCTCTTCTCATTCTTTTCACTATAAACAAAATAAATTTCTGATAAATATAAAGTATTCAATTCTAAAGAATTCAAATTATTTATTCTAATAAAATAATATAAAGTTTACAGATTTTATAAATAAAAAAAAGATGCATGCAAATATAAATAGAGTGCGTGTATCTAGTTAATCATAACGTATATATATATATATATATATATATATATCATTGAAAACATTAAAAATATATTGATAACATATAGACAATTTATGTATATTTGGTATACATAAGGATGGATGGATGTATCTTTATACATTCATTTAAAATGAATAGGATTAATAAGGACACAGTGAATCTTCATAGCATCAATCAGTTATCATCAATAATGTCAGTTATGTGTAAATTTTTTAAAAATAAAATATGAAATAATAACAATCATCAATGTATAATTCTATTATTATGGAGTTCATTTATGCTACAATGGTGTGCATTTGAAAAATCCATATATCAATGATACTTAAATAATAATAATAAATTCACTAGGTATTGTTGTGGTGTTGTCTACTTATATTTATATAAGTAGTATATGGTGTGGGTCAGACATAGAATGTATTTTCGCAGAAGACCGATGAGGAAAGAACTGAAATGAAGCGCAATCGTTTGGAAAATGCATGAGCAATGGAATAAGAGAAGAAACAGTGAAGATTGAAACAAATTGTTGTTAATTTGCAAATTGACTGTTCATTGTTTGGTAATCAGAATTTACTGAGATAGTCTGTAATGTTTGCTTAAATAAATTCTATTGTCCCCAACCAGTCGTGTTTTGTTCACTACATTGTTTGTTTGAATCTTTCCATTGATGTTTGGGACTTCAATTGATCAGTCTCTTATTGGCATATGTGCATACTGTGCATATTGCCTCGATCTAACCTTAATTCACAAGCATTGTAAGCAAAGATGGATAGTGGCTAGCAGTGGAATCCAGGATGCACATATGCCAATAAGAGACTGATCAATTGCAGTCCTAAACATCAATGTGAAGATTTAAACAAACAATACCAAATGAATATAAACTTCACCCCATTGCACAAGCAAGTGTCTATTAGGACTCAGCAGCTGAGTGCATAATGCGATGGTGTTTGAAGCGAACGATACTGGGTTGGAGTCTCAGAGTGAACATCAACTCTGAGATGTAGGTACATCCAGCTGATGAGTCCCAGATAGGATGAAACGCGTGTCCTGTATTCCACTGCTAGCCACTATCCATCTTTGCTTATAATAATAATAATAGTAATAATAATAAGTGATAATGATAATCACAATGATATTATAGATTAAGAATGAACTAACTTTTATTCTCAGTTTTTTAAAGAATAATGTCTGATAACTAAAATAACTCATAATGTCATTGAATAAGAAAAAGCGAATTCAGCGAAGAAAATTTTCTTTTCGACGAAATCATTTACTTAAGCTGTACATTCGTATATATAGTAATATGGAAAATATATGTCTACAGGAGACTAGGAAAGATTGCATTATAAATTGATTCGACAATAAATAATAATTCGATAATAAATAAAATATATACGAATGTACAGCTTAAATAAATGATTTCGTCGAAAAGAAAATTTTCTTCGCTGAATTCTCTTTTTCTTATTCAATAATTTCTGACTCAACCCTGTTTCATTTATTTCAAACTTCATAACGGTAAGATATGAAAAAAATAGTATTAAAATCAAATGGACCAAATTTTATTTCATCATAAATGTATAGAATACCAACATTTTCAATTGGTTGGTGAAATGTGAATTTCTTGTAGTACAACACTCCATGATTATTAGCTATTGAGACACAAACATATATATGACTAATTGAATGATTTTCATAACCTGTAATTATTGTTAACACAGTTTGTATCATTCGTCAATCAAATGTATTTGTCATTATTTTATCTAGTTTTTTTATATCAGCCGACGAATTACATTCGTGGTCGATAAAGACTTGATGATAAAATTTTAGAAAATATAATCTGTTACGATAGCATTAAAAGGCGAGATTATATGTTTAACTCAGTATGATTCTTGTTCAGTAAATTTTTAGTTCAAATTTTCGGCATATTATTTATTTTATCTTATTTAGTCACTTATTCAGTATAATAATCTTTGTATCAATTTATTGTGAAGTTCATTTTCTTTTATAGGTAGCAGTTTTCAGTTTATTCTGTGTAAATCCCACTTATTTTGAGTGTGTGTCATTCTTTACTAATCATCCAATGTTACTAAAATCAGTATAAAAATGAGTGTATCTAATTAAAGCAGTTGTGATAACATTGTGGTTGAAGGTAGTCAACAGGAAACCCTGAACCTAGGTTTCGTGCCATTTGGCAGTCATCAGAAAGGTGTACCTGTAATCTTGAGGCAACTAATGCTTCCAAACGAATTCGATCCCGTATCACACAGTTTCACACTCAGAGTCACTGAGCTATTAGGGCAACGACTGACCTCCTGTAGGACTGAGATGTGTTTACAATTGATTGATCACCTCCAACCACCATCTCATCTCAACATGGTGCACGCAATGTCGAGTCACCTAGACTAGTGACCACACTCAACTTGGTCAATAAGACCTGATCCGCACTAAGAAGGAATTGACATATATGACATCGGTCACCATCCAGTGATCTGACTTTAGTTTTGCCTGTTTTCTTGTATCTCACGAATCTCAGTCTCCTTTTGTTCCAAGATCTACTTTTGCAGTTATAAGAGATTTGTTATTCAATGCATTATATTTCTCATTTATGAGTACAATCTCTCAATCAGTATAATTTTTTTATATATTTGTCTATCTCATTTTCAACTAGGCCGCAGGTTGTCGACAGGAAATAGTTGCCTGATTCGTATTTTAACTCTTTTCCGTTTA